GGGAGAGCACGGAGAACGTCGTTATATTTGTGTACCGGCGATTATCTAGCACGGGATTCCTTTGCAATGACTAAAATACCTAGTGAGAAGAAAAGGGGCGGAAATGAAGAGGCGCGGGAGCTCCAAAGGACTGGATGGGGCTGATTTGGTACAATTCTGAGACAAATGCTCCCCACCAGTAATTCGATCAGGACTGAGGTGGGTGTCCCGGGAGGGGGTGTGCTATGCCTCCTAGGTACACACCCATATACCAAGCACGTTCCTTACGTGTACTTCGTCGAACTCAGCCATCGTCGCCGACGCTTTAGGAATCTCCGAGGACGGTTGGGCATGAACGCGCCTTGTTCTCGACTTGGACGTCGGCTTGATTCCGGGTCCCTGCACCGTCGACCGCCACATTCTGTCCCTGCTGCAAGAGACGCAACTGTAATGATGTGAGCCGCAGCCGCATGCAGAATATATAGCTTCGATTCGTAAAATGAGAAAGACAAATTTGAGGCATACATACAAGCACAGGTGCGGGACGGTGGAAGCGGCTTGACAGGCGATAGGGACCTTATATGGAGCGCGGATTTCTTATAGGGAAGTTTCTTGTCTGCCCGTGTATTTCGCAGACGTCCAACTTGGTCCTCTACGTACCCCAAGGTACGAATGTAGAAGCACCCAATGTCATACCCTTGACCGAAGACGCATGCCGGCGGTCAAACCCCCCCATGCATCAATGCAGGTCGCGATCCAGTTGATGACTACCTGGGTACTTCGTACATACAAACGTACAACGTACCGTACATATTCCTCCCGCTTCTGCTGTCTTGCATGGGGGACGACTTGCATGCGGGTTCTCAGTTTTACCTGTACCGTAACAAATGTATGTATTCACACTGATTAGGACTAGCGCCCTCATCACTGGTATCGTCGTCATGCCGTGGATAACACCCCAGTCGGGCCCAAAAAATACCACCGTGGACCCCTGGCCAGCAACGACTCAAACCATGTAGCTCCCATCTCGGATCACAATAATAATGAACATTCTCAAAACATGCTGATCGTACATATGTATCTGATGGAGGAAAGCCACTCAATAAAACAAAGGATTGGCCCTCATCTCCTGCAAGAGCCCAAGTGTCAGTCTAGGGGGAAACGTATTTAATACTCTGATCCGCCTCTTTCCGCATCTGTCGAAGAGATATAGGGGTAACGACGCTGCAGGGCAAGTTCAAATGATGAATTGCATCGCCATGGGACAGTACGGCTTCGAAGATCCACTGCTCGGCGATGTGCAGTACACACGGATGAGATTTCGAGGCAACGCGTTGCCACACTTCCATCACGGGAGTCGTGCAGCTAAGCTCCAAGCCCAGTGTACAACGCCAGGTGATAGAAGCAGCTCGCCTGTCTGCCTGGTAGGCCTGGTAAATAAAGGCACACGCCTTCTCGTGGGACTCGCTCCAGATCACAAGATGCTGTAGTCTGGGCATCTGCAGAGCTGCGGTCCCGGCGCTCAGCAGGAGAGCGTATATCTCATGGCGTCGTTCCTGGTCTTGCAGAACTCGCGATGTGAGGGCCAACGACCGCAAACTTTGCCATGTGTGGTCTGGTACACAGGCGCTAAAGAAATCCTCAGCGTCAATCATATAGGAAACGGACAGCTCCTCGAGGTGGAGGCTTCTGGACACAAAAGCCTCGCCCAACCTGGGACTTGTGGCCCTGGGATCATAATTCAGCACTGTAGGCGACCCCGCGGCGTATTTTTGTAGTTCTATACGAAAGTTCTCGTCGAAATCTTCAAATATCGATAGTGCCTTGTGTTGAACTATGTATACCTCAAGAAGTACCTACACATTAGAGAATTCTCTTTTAGTGTAGTAGTACGTTTTTGAGTGTGACACCTTGAGGGTCTGGGGAAGATGTGTCCGAATCAGGAGTGCGAAGTCTGGGAAACATGTCAATGACCACCCACGTGAAGTAAGTATTGGAGGTGTACGCACCCTCATCGTTAGATGCTCCGTGCCACTTATCACACACCCGCCATAGCTCCAGGACCAAATGTTCCAAGCCTCGGAGGTGCTCCAATATCTGTTGAAGCGTTATGGGAAGAAGACAGCGGCGTAATTGTCGTCGCACGATGAGGCTTTTGACTATGTGAACTGGGGGTACTCGTGCTCGCCAAGGCAGGAAAAGGGTCGTTTCGAAGAGTCGTAGGAAAGCTCGTAGAGGAGGTTGCATGAGTTGATAGCCTTCCCTCCAGCCATGCAACATGTCAGTCCGGCTAGGATCGACTACCTGGGTGGAAGTCACGTCTTCGTCGTCTCTGCCGTTGGATGTGAAATGGTAGTGCTTGAACCAGTGCTCCGAGTCGCTAGGCGAATGGGCATTGAGCTCTAGCGTGAAATCATTCCCATTTCCCCACGTGCTAAGAATCCAAAGCAGTTCCCGGACACCTCGACTGAAGATAGCGTTGTTTCTATAATGATGAGACTTTGATTCCTTTTCTCCGCAGCTCCGACACGTGAACGGGAGCAACTCAATGTCGAGCAAGATGTGACGGATAAGCTCCCTGCGGCAGATGCTAAGGCGCGAGAGTGTGGATAGGCATGATGGATGCAGCCTAAGCTGGCGAAAGTTGTACTTCTCGATGACGAGCTGCCACTCCTTGCAGACAGACGCTAAAGAGGCCCAGCCTGGCGACTTTTGGCCTACCATGGTCTCTAAAATCCTGCGACGTATCTCCATGGGCAGAGACGGCCATGGTGTATGTCTCGTCGTTCTCGTAAGCATCATGCTATGACCTCTGGAACCGTTAGATCTGTCAGCCATGATGGTAGAGGTCCGGTTCTTAACGAGTGGATGACGAGAAGAGATTCCTGGTCCGTTTCGATTGTTGGCACACCTTTTTGGTCTTGAGGGAAGAGAGACGTGAGGAAGAGAGACGCACCTTCCCAGACAGTCGTTCTTACCTTACGTTGTACTTCCTTTCCATAACCCTGACGGACGTCACAGTTCGCTACCTACCTTACTAGACTTACCTGGATGGGCACCATCGCGTGACCCCCCTGGGCAGGCTTTAGATAAGGTACCTTAGTTAAGGTATGCTGAAGAAACCAACACCTTCACCACGGCCATGAAACGTGGCCATCTTGCAAAGGCGAACCCGCGGGCCAACGGAGTTTTGTTGGCATGAAGTACCTTATGAAGCTGTCACTGTCCCCATCTGCTCCTATTCAAGCCCGGCGCGAGCGGACTTGCGCTCAACTCCAAACTCACAATGTTCGGTTGCCCAGCATCACTACTACCCTTCATAATGCTTTGCAACGAAACACGGCCTGCCCATCACAGTATTCGTTCACAAAAAAATTGACATGTTCCGCGAGTGCGCTTGTCGCAGTTGCCTAATATTACAAACGAATGATTGTACAGATCGATGGGCGGAAGAACAAACGGCCCCCGCCTCCCTCGACTTTTTGGCTGGTTGTCTCTGCCTCCAAGGCATACAATGTCCATGAATGGTCTTGTATTTCTGTCTTCCTCCGCTCTACCGCTTGACCCAAGCGGGCATCTTCCGAGCCTTGACGTGACCGTGCTTCTTCCTCTCGACCGCTCTGGGATCGCGGGTGATACAGCCAGCTATAAACGAAACCATGGTTAGTGATCATGAAGCGAAGACGAGAAAGAAGAGGAAAATCAACTTCGGAATCCTGAACTCACCCTGCCTGAGAATCGGCTTGAGGGCCGGCTCGTGAGCCAGCAAGCCCTTGGCGATGGCCAAGGTGAGGGCCTCGGCCTGGCCGGTCGTGCCGCCCCCTTCTACCAGCGCCCAGATGTTATATTTATCCACCCGGTCGGTGCTGCGGAGCGCCCAGACAGCGCTCTCGCGATCGTGGATGCGACCAAAGGCCTCGTTGAGCGGCTTGCCGTTGATCTGCACCTCCCCGGTGCCCTCGACAACCCAGGCCCGCGCCGTGGACGTCTTACGCCGCCCGACACCCACAGCGCGCCCGAATCTGTCGACAGGGATAGGCTTGGGGACGTTGGAGAAGGGATCAATGTCCTTCTCGAAGTCGACGAGCGCGTCCTTGACCTCGGCCGGCATCAGCTTGGGGTCGATCTGATGCAGTCGTTTGACGATGGACAGGGCCCGGCTGTACTGCAGCGCCTTGATGGGTTCTCCGCTGTACACGCGGTATTCTAGCAGCGTCTTCCACAGCTGCGGCTTTCGCTCCTGGTCCGGTGCCACGACCGGGAGGTTCTGGTATCGGTGGAGGAGCGTGGCGAGCCGGACGATCGAGTCGGTGAAATGGGGCTCGCGAGAGAAGTAGGACGGCGACACGGGCATGGGCCGAACGTGGGTGACGCCTTCGAAGGGCCCCTTCCGGGAGCCGGCGATGAGGGATCCGGCTGAGGCGTCCTCGCTTTCGGTTTCGGTTCGTGGTTGTTGATTTCTTGCGCTTGTTGTCAAGCTCTTCATGTCGACTTTGCAAGGGGCCCTAGGTAGCCATTGCGGCTGCTGAAGACGCGGCCTCGCCAGCTGGCGAAGGCAGTCTAGTTTCTGGAGGCCGTGGCGTAGTGTTGACATGGTGCGTCGACCTCCTGCAGCGGTTGTGTTGTCGTATTGACTGTCGTGAGTTTTCAATCCGACACTGGCTGGTGAACCCGAAATCCTCAATTGGCTTGTGGGGCTGAGCAAATAGAAAGAAGGTGCTACGCCACCACAGCCACATGTAACTGTGGGTCTACTTGGATAGCACCTCGTACGAAGTATCAAGACGGATTCGTTAGCCATCCCTAATCCTTTGGCCGAGAGGAAAATGGGATGCAGATGTACACAGGTAGCAATAGTCCGGATTACGGAGTCCAGTCTTCTTCAGTTTCCAGGCTCTATCGAAAGCCACCAGCAGTGATGTTGCAGAAATTCTTTTCGCTAAGGTACCTATCATATACATAGACCCCGGCCACATCACCTAGCACAGAAAAACCCGTGACAACTGCGTTAAAAGGGGCATGTCTGATTGGTGTACTGATATGCGGTAAGAACTATGTATACCGGGCTGTAAATGAGGGGACTCCCCTAAGAACTTCTGCTGTGCAGTGAGTCGTCGAATTGGTGAGCGTCTCGACGAAGCTTGCACACGCCATGTTCAGTGGAGGAAAGGCGCGGCGCTCAATAAGGTACACCAGCGATTATGTAACCAGCCACTACCTATTCGTATTTGTGGCATTGCATTACGTGCGCGCGTATGTCATACAAGTACGGAGTAGGTACGGATAATTGGATGGCGTTCGCTCTTTCTTCGGAGACTTGGGAAGCTGGTGGGGCTAGACCGGGACCCATAAAATTCAGATTCGTCAGAGAAAAAAAAGAGTCACCCAAAGTTGACACCACACCTTCCATCTAAAATTCCGAGGTGGAGGAGAGGGGAAAAATGTAAACTTTTATCCCCCCTTCCCCTCCACAGTGGAAGGTTGTTCCTTTTTTTTCACCCCTCTTCATCCTCTCCTCCATTTTCTTGACAGGTCATACTTCGTACAACTCGAGCAAAGATGGCTTTCGGCAAGCTCTTCGGCATCAAGGTAAGAACTTCTTTCTTTTCTGTCATGGCTTCGAGGCAACACGGTCACTTCGTCGGAAACCAATTGCTGACGTTTGTTCCGCTTCCCAGGGCAACCCCCGCACCACCGTGCTCAAGGTCATTGCGAATGCCAACGGCCTTGACCTTGACTTCGTTGAGGTTGATTTCAAGAACCCGACCGCCGAGCACCTCAAGGCCAGTCCTCTTGGCAAGATCCCTGCCTTCGTCGGCGAGGACGGCTTCGCCCTTTCCGAGGTCATCGCTGTCGCTATCTACCGTACGTCTTATCAACTCCCTGTGCAACCCCTCGGTCTTCCAACGAGCCCCCGATGGGGTTGGTAGCGTGTTGCATCGCTATTGCCTTGCCCTTCCCACGTGATGATATAGACTTCAATTTTTACAGTTATCCCTGTCCGAACCAAGCAGTGTGGATAGATTCTACTTTCTGATCTTATTTGGCTTTCCTACAATTTTCTCACAGTCAGCTTCTTGAGGTGTGAACTAACACCCTTCTTCAGTTACTTCCCAGAACGAGAAGACCACTCTCCTCGGCAAGACCAAGCAGGAGTAAGTGCTAGCCTGAACCTCCCAGCCTCGAGGGGCGATTGTTGAAACATACCAAGCTAACCAATTCCGCCTTTCAGCTATGCTTCTATCCTGAGATGGCTGTCCTTCTCTAATTCCGAGGTCCTTCCTCGCCTGGCTGGCTGGTACCGCCCTCTCCTGGGCATTGACGCCTACAACAAGAAGGCTGTCGAGGAGTCTTCCAAGGCCGCTCTCAAGGCCGTCTCTGTTGTCGAAGAGCACCTCCTTCGCAACACCTACCTCGTTGGCGAGCGTATTACCCTTGCCGACCTTTTTGCCGCCAGCATCATCAGCCGCGGCTTCGAGTTCTTCTTCGGCAAGGAGTGGCGCCAGCAGAACCCCAATACCACCCGGTGGTACAACACCATCGTCCACCAGGACATCTGGACGGCTGTTGCCGGCGAGCAGCAGTACCTTGACCAGCCCAAGCTGACCAACGTCGCGCCCAAGAAGCCCGAGGCTCCCAAGGCCGCCAAGGCCGCCCCCAAGCCCGCCGCTGCCCCTGCTGCTGCTGAAGATGAGGATGCCCCCAAGCCCAAGCCCAAGCACCCGCTAGAGGCCCTCGGCAAGCCTTCGGTTGCCCTGGACGAGTGGAAGCGCCAGTACTCCAACAGCAGCACTCCCGACGCCATGAAGTGGTTCTGGGAGAACATGAATTGGGAGGAGTACTCGCTCTGGAAGCTCCAGTACAAGTACAACGATGAGCTTACCTTGACTTTCATGTCCAACAACCTCATCGGCGGCCTCAATGCCCGTCTTGAAGCCTCGCGCAAGTACGTCTTCGGCTGCGCCTCGGTTTATGGCGTGAACAACGATTCGATCATTGAGGGCGCTGCTGTCGTTCGTGGTCAGGATTACCTCCCTGCCTTCGACGTCGCTCCTGATCACGAGAGCTACACTTTCACCAAGCTCGACCCCACAAAGCCCGAAGACAGGGAGTATGTTGAGCTCATGTTCGAAGGCGAGAAGCCGCTGGTTGTGAACGGCAAGGAGTACCCCGCTGCCGCTGGCAAGGTGATCAAATAAAAAGGTGTACGGACGGGAGTGTGATGTGAGAATGATGATGGATCATGGCAGGATGTTTACGAGGTTACGAAAGGGCAATCCATGCAATGAAATGATTCTCATGAGCCCGACTTTTTTTTCCTGTAGGCAATGCGATCATGCCAAGAGCAAGCTGTGAGAGTCTTGCTATCCACAAATAAAAAAAATTGATCATGACAAGAAAAGGTTCACGCTGAGTTGTTATTATGATATCAGGTGACCAAGGTTTAAGTCGTGGCCTGGTAGTTCTAGTGTAGGATGATCTGTATGAACGCATGGGACGAGCTCTGGTCGCTTGTGTAAAAGTTCTCCTCAAAGCCCCTCCCCTCTCCCTACCTCCTCCTATCACGGAGGATGATTTGCATGAGACGGATCTCACATGCAGCGAAATCAGGCCGACGGTGATTCGAGGGTGTAATCATGCCGCAGCTGGAACGGATGCGTGTGGATGTACCGACTGACGTCGGCTTGGTAGCATAGCAGGTTGAGGTAGTCGTGTACCTGCGGCAGCACATGCAGGGACTCCTCTCCGCCGGAGAACTCGGGTATGCGCAAGAGGTTAAACGGCTCGGAGCGAGCCTTCTCGAGCGAGTCGTCCACCAGGACGGTGTTGGACTGGTCCCAGGCGCCACCGCGGGCGGCATCCGGGTGGGAAGCCTGCACGGCCGGGTCGGCCCAGAGGCGGGCAAGGCGCTTGTAGCACTGGACGCGCTGGCTGTAGTCCTCGGGGCAGAGGCCGAACTTGTCGCGGCCCCAGACGGCGACGAGGCGCTTGTGGTGGGCCGAGTCGGTGCCGCCGAGCAGCTGGGCGCACATGGTGGCGACGTTCTGCGGCCGGGCGGACGACCAGACGGCTACCCGGAAGGTGCTGATCGCGTACCGCATGAAGTCCCGGGCGAAAGGGCGTTCGATGAACTTGTGGGACTGGCGGCGATCGGGACGGAAGAGGAGCGTGCCGTTGAGGTCCATTACCACGAGGATGGCACGGGGCCGAGGGAGGAGCGAGGGTGGCAGGGCGGATTGTTCGAGGTAGGCGCGGGACGGTTCGGGGATGCCGCCGGACCGGGGCGATGGAGCTACGATTGCGCTGCGTCCTCCTGGCAGCGGCGCTTCTTGCTGGCGAGGCTTGGGGCCTTTGCGTTTTGGGCCCTTCGGAACCTTCGCGCCGCCCATGCTTGGTCTTCTGCAGTTTTGGTAAGTAAGTCTGAGGTCATGAGAGTAGCGGATCGGTTTGAGAGAATGTAGGGCTTCGCCCCCGAGGCAGGGTGGGATCGTACATAGATGACGGCTCAGCTGAAGAAGGAAGCCAGACTGGGATAGGTACGAACTCCGGTATTGGGTCGCTGGGGTGGGAATGTGTTGATGAAGATGCTGTGGCTGAAAAGAAACCGTGGCTTTGAGTGAATTGAGAAGAAAACTGGGATCCGGCGACCTGAGGGGGAAACTGGAGTGGGAAGGGTATGTTGAAGGAAGGGTTGTTGCTGTCCATGTTGACGGTGTTATATATGGTTCTGCTGTCAAGAAGTTTGAGACGTGATGTAGGCAAACGGCTTGAGTAGAAGGCGTTACGTTGCCGTGTAACTGTGCGAAGTAAAACGCGATGAACAGCAACTGCTTGCTTCACCCTCTGCGTAACTGGAGCGACGGATGTTGCGGACTGAGAGAAGAGAGCGCCGACTAGGACTCTGCTGAGGCGTGGGGCCATGAATCTTTCAAAAGAAGAGCTAAGACGGAGGAGATACGACGGGCTGTCAGTATGAGCTCCCTGAAAATTTAATTATGGTATAACACGAGTGAGTGATCTGGGATCGAGTTTTATTTGTTGGTTGTTGGCGTTTCCATGATAATATAATGCGCAAGATGTCGACGATGTCGGGCATGGAGATGAGTTTACAGGGTACCTATACGCACTGTATACTTGTAGTTTTCTCTCTCAAGGTACATAAATGAAGGTAGTTAACCCGCAAGTTGTGTGCAGCAATCGGTGACGAGTACTTTTATTACTTGTACAGGCGCCTCTGCATACAGTGTATTGATATTTGGGTCGCAGTACAAAACCCAGGCCAATCACTGTCCTTTGCCTGTCCTGGACAGCATCTGCGAACGTGAACGGCCTTTCCTTTTTCTTAATTTTTTTTGTCCAGATATTGTCGAACAGACCAGAGTCTTTTCGGTTACGTAATGGGCCGGATTGCTAAGAGTATAATCCGGGTAGACGCTTGCAGAATCTGCACTATATAAAATACGGTGGTAGCGTTTCCCTAACGGTCTAAGATAGTTATAATTATATATAATTACCTTAATTAATTTTAACCTATTTTATAACGATTTTGACTACGCTTTATCTGATAATTAAGAGTCTTACTTACTAAGTGAAATACCTACCTTTTTACCTTTACCACTACTACCGATTTAAGAAGCTATCTAGCTACGCCGATATAGCGTGTTAATCTATAAATAACTATTAAGATATCGTATCTTAGCCCTATTACGTATAAAACCTATAAGGATTAGGGGCTCTAGCGACGTCTATACGAATCGGTTACCACCTATAATAACGTATAGAGGTTTCTCCGCCTAGTCGATCCGACTTAATTACCCGAGGAGCCTATAATACCGAATTACGACTCTTTCCCCTTTATAACGTCTAGGCGTACCCCTACGTAATATCTCGACCTTACGGACGCTGGCCAGAAAGCGTACGACGTCGAAATCGCGCGCTAGAAGATCCTATAGACGTAATACGATAGCTACCTAAAGGGGATTAACGCTATACTAACCTAGCAGATTAATACTATCGACTAAAGCCGTAGATAACTGCTATAAGGAGGTATACCTCGCGAGGTATATAAAGCGGTTAAACGCGATACGGATTAGTACCTGGCCACCCGCTAAACCGATACCTATAAAGAGTATATCGAGTATACTCGTTATCCTGCGAATAGCCTTAAGAAGCTCGGGGAGTGGTTAGATAAGTGGTAGCTACTACTGTAAAGCTATGAAGATACCAGTTTAAAGCCCGCTATGTATATATAGGTTATAGATTTCTTTAGAGGTATACGCCCCTATACCGGCCGTGATTAGACTAAGGCTAAGGATCGCCTTATAGATAACTAGGTAGTTATACCCGAAGACCTTTATACCCTTAGCTAGAAGTATATTAATACTAGACTTAAAGACTAAGGAAAACGCGGTAGCCACCGCGTTATAGTATTCCCTGTACTATATACTAGAAGCGAAGAGGGTGAAGATACCTTAGAGGCCACGGCTAAGCTATATAAGAAGGGCGGCCGTGGGAAGAATAAAGCTAAGAATCCTACTACCGCGGTATCTATAGCTATACCTTTAGCTGCTTTAGCTAACCGTTCCTTTTCTAAATACTGTTAATCTGCTCTATAGAGAGGTTAGATCTGCCGCGTGTATGCTATACCTGGCCACGATATTAACGCCTGCTTCTATCTATTCCCGGATACGGTATATAACGATTAGATACCCTTTAAGAGTACTAAAATAACCGTCTAACGGATCCTTAAATACGACCCCTTACTACGCGCGGAAGTAGAAGAACTGCGCGCTGTAAAGAAGGTAAAGAAGAATATAAGCCGGGATTCTGTATAGCTTAAAGAGGCGTGACTTAACTATAGTAGCGTCCATAGCGGCGTCTCCTACGCCGCTACCTTTACGGCTGGCACTACTGTTAGCTACCCTTTTCGAACCTCTGCTATCCTTGATTCCGGTGCTATTATTTATATTTTTAACGATTTTTCCCGCTTTTCTGATTTTATACCCGCTACGCCGGGAGATTACGTGGTTATAGGCAGTTCGTCCCTGCCTATTAAAGGTTACGGTAACGTGACTGTGAGATTAAACGGACTAATAGAAGGCCTTGATTTTAGGCTGTTAAACGTCGTATACTGCGAGGATTTTACCTATAATTTAATCTTTAACTAACGCCTACGCCTTTAAGAATACTAATAAGATTAGAACCTACTAAATAACTGTATTCGGCGTTCCGATAGATCTATACTATGCTAGCTAAGTCACCGTTTCGATTAAACCGTTATTAAATACATGCCCTCTAACTAATCTACGGCTGCTTTTCTAGGCTCTTCTTCCACCCGAAAAGCTATCTATAAATCGACGATACGCTATCTAAGCACTACGGAGGGCATCCTATAGTATCTACAACTAGGGCACGCTAGCTCTAAACCGCTTAGGCACCTAAAAGAGTAGACGTAGGGGGTTAAAATAAAGGGACTAATAACTATCGACTATAAGGCCTGCGAGCTTATAAAGATTAAACGGCACGTTAGCAGGCGTCCTTATACCGTACCTACTTACGTAGGGGAGCGGTAGGCGATTAATTGCACGGATTTTAATAGAATATCCGATAGGGACTCGCGGTTTATATTTTTCACCGACCGTTATAGTGGTTTTACGGCCACCTATATTATAAAGAGTAAGCTAGCAGTGGATATCCTTATAATAATTAAGGAATTCCTCGCCTAGGTAAACCGTTAATTAGGCTCTAAGGTGCGCGTTTTCGAATCTGATAACGAGCTAACTTAATCCTACGATATCACCTAATTCCTGCGTGACGAGGGTATCCTTTTAGAGGCATTTACTGCCGACACTTAAGCGTAGAACGGGGGTGCTGAACGCGCTACTACCGTGGTTATCTTAAAAGGTCGTGCGATAAATATCCACGTAAAACTACCGTCGTTTATATAGCTTAAGGCTATTCCCACGGCTACGTACGTCTATAACCGTACGCCACGAAGGCAGTATAATAAGGAATAGAGAACGCTATACGAGGTCCTCTTTAAAAGGAAGCCGATTTTATTATACCTTCGAGCTTACGGCTATAAGGCGTACGCGATAATAAAGGACGCCTAAAAGGCTATTAATAAGCTATTAAATCGTATCGCTCCTCGCGCTTATATCGGCTATCTTATCGGCTACGATTCCACTAATATTTTCCGTATCTAGGTGCCTAGCCTACGCCGCTATAACCGCGTTATTCGAACGCGCGATATAGATTTTAACGAACGCGCCTTTTTTAACAGCGATATCGCCACCTTTAAGGACGACCTCCGTTAATTAACTAAGGAGTAATTAGAAGACCTGATTAGTTAGATTAAGTAGGAGAGGGCTAGAGATTCACGGCCGTTTACGGACGTATAAGCTAAGGACCCCCCCCTTTATATAACTGCTTATTTTAAATTATTAGATCCGGGGATACACGCCCCCGGATCCCCTTCCTTAACGGCTTTACTATTAAGGTTATAGTCCGTAATACCCGGCTATAAAGGGGTAAAGGAGGCTATCTCGAGTTAATTAGGATAAGATTTAGGTTATAAATAGTGTGATTTAGCCGGTATAGCGCCTGATTACCGTTTATATCCGCCCGATCTATTACTTCCTACTCTACTAGTAGCCCCGCTATCGGTTATAGCGCTAATAGTAGCCGTTATATTAGGAAACCGTGATACCCCTACGGCTATAGGGTTCTAGGATAACAGAACACGGTGCTACAATACCTCTATAGCTACGACTATAGGGCTCCTATTAAATAAAGGAGCGTAACTAATTCGATAAAGAGATAGCTAGAAAAGAGACTATTAGGTTATAGTATTTAACGCTAGCCGTTACGTACCTAATATATATATTAAATAGGATTCCGCTAACTAAATTACGGTTAAAAAGGTTTATGTCTATAGCGCTATAACGATGCTTAACGATACCCTGCGAATCTATAGCCCCGGCGGTAGCCACTGGAAGTATAACCCGGGAGGCTATATCGGGAAATATAACCCCGGCGGTTACTCCGGCGGGTGCTCCGGTGGTTACCCCGACGGCCGTAAAGATCCAGCGTAAAGACCTCCCTCCTCCTCCGAAGAACCCTCGCGATATACCCTTATACCCTTACGGCCACTTATTCTGATAGGTATAAAAAGACTACCTACGGAGCCACGAGGAGATAGAGTTATGGATATAGGTGCCGGCGTCCGTAGTAGATAGATATTGGATTCTTAATTCGATATAGGTAATAATATATAAGTTTAATAAGTATGGATTTCTATATAAATATAAGATACGGCTTATAGTGCGAGGAGATTAATAGTATTAATTCTTATTTAAGGAGATATACGTAGTAATACTAGCCGGACGGTTATTCCGCGCGTTAATAGCTATTACCGCCCGATTTAACCTTATGCTGTTATAATTTAACGTTATGAACGCGTTTATATACGCGCCCCTCCCCCACGATATCTTTATATACCCGCCGCTAGGCTTTTTAGCCTTTAGGAGTCGTTTATACCTAAAAAAGGCGTTATATAGACTTAAGGAGTCTTTACTACTTTAGTAAAAGCACTTTTCGGCTATTTTTTTAGCGGACGGCTTCTAGATAGTGCCGTAAGAACCGTGTTATTTTCTACGCCGCGGTTTAATCCTATTCTTCTGTGTTAACGATATCGTTATTACTTATAAGGAATAATATAAGGCGTAGATAGAGTAGGCCGTTAATAACCTATAATGCTACTATAACCTATAAGGTAGCGATCCTCTATAGTAGTTTCTTAGTATTAAGGTTATACGCGACCGTATCGCCCGTAAAATCTGGCTATTATAACGCGACTACGTTACTAAGTTAAAACGCCTATTAAAGCCGAATAGTAAGTATAGTAGTAACTATCGCCTAACGCACCTAATTAAGGTTATAGAGCTACTGCCTTATTTAGGAACCTCGACTAACGTTAAAAGCTATTAACGGAAGATAGGATCTATACTATACATAGTAGTGTTATCGCGGCCTAATATCGCGTTTATAGTATCTAGGCTATACCGGTTTAACGTTAATCTAGGGCCTATTTACTATAAGGCCGCCGATTATCTAATCCTCTATCTAATTAATAGTTAATCGTTTATATTAGAATTAGGGAGTAGCGATACTATCGAAATCTATACTAACGCCTCGTTTACCGATAATACTCTTGATTAAAAGAGTAGTTAAGCGTACGTGATACGCTTATTTAGCGGTATAATAGCGTGGCGCGCTAATAAGCAGGATACGATCACGACGTTAATAATAGAGGCAGAGCTATTAGCTTTAGTATAAGGTGTAAAAGAGGGTATCTTTATATAACGCCTATTACTTAGTATAGGAGTGGAATTTAACGATCCGGAATTAAGGATCTTATACGATAATAACTAAACGATTCGATTAGTTAATTAAGAGCTTAGTATGTTAATAACGCGCCTCCGCTATATCGATATCCACGGCCACTAATTACGTTAAGTAAAGGAATAAGGGTAAATACTCGTAACGTACGTTATAAGCGCGGAAATAGTAGTAGACGGATTAATAAAGGCGCTATACGGCGAGAAATTTAAGATATTTAGGTTTTAGGTGGGCGTGATGGATATACGGGAACGGTTATAGCAGAAATAGCTAGAGAAAGTCCGGATAGAATATTTAGAGGACCTGGAGGATGAATTTAAGGGCGGCTATAGCGAATAGATTATATAGCTGGATTATCTACCGATTACGAATAGCTTTAATCGCCTAACTAACGTTTAGAGCGATTAGGGGGTATATCGAATAGACTATAGTCTATTCAGTTACATAATAGGCCGGATTACTAAGAGTATAATCCGGGTGGACGCTTATCTGCACTATATAAAATACGGTGGCAGCGTTTCCCTAACGGTCTGAGACAGTTATAATTGTATATAATTGCCTTAATTAATTTTGACCTATTTTGTGACGATTTTGACTACGCTTTATCTGACAGATATTCCGTGTTATCTTATCAGGAATGCGACCCAGGATATCCCCACGCTAAAAGGTGCACATCCTACCTAAGACGTTTCTTAGGTAACCTATATGGACAGAGGATCTCGATGCTCCCACCTTTATCACTCTTACCTATTGTCTAGCTTTCCTCCTCTGGAAGAATTCTTGAAAATGGCAAATTCACAAAAGAGAAAACTACCTTTACAGGGACTCCAGCGTCGTGTTCGGCCTCGACAAGAAGAGGTGCCGGACGAAGAGCTTGACGAGAGCCTCGACGACAACGATGACCAGACCGAGCCAGACATGTCGGATGATGATCTAGAGGGGGAGAATGTCGACGATGAGGACGATGATGAGGACGCGTCAGAGGTAACGTTGCTCTAGGTCGGTGCGGTGTAGGTTCCCAATCTCCCTAACCATTCTTTTATTAGTCCGACGGTCCTCCACCTGCACGATCCAAGGTGGACCCATCCTCCATCTCCTTCGGCGCCCTGGCCAAAGCCCAAGCTTCCATCCCGCCGTTACGAAAGCGCCAGAAGCGAGCCACCTCCGAGACAAGAAGCGAAGAGGACGGCGACGAATCCGACTCGGACGACGCGAGACCCAAGACGAGCGGGCCGGGCAAGCGCTCCTCCAAGCACGCGCCTATGGAAATGTCCTCCAAACGGCCCGTGTCGCGCAAGCGCGAGGTCATCGCCGTGCCCAAACTGGAGGCCCGCGACCCGCGCTTCGACCCCCTCATCAGCGGCGGCGGCGCGGGCTTCAACGAAGCCAAGGCCAAGAAAGCGTACGCGTTCCTCGACGAGTACCGCGACAGCGAGATGACCACGCTGCGGGCCGAGATCAAGAAAACCAAGGACCCGGCCGAGAAGGAGAAGATGAAACGGCTGCTCGGGTCCATGGAAAACCGGAAGAAGGCGGAGCTGCGCAAGGACGAGGAACGCCGCATCTTGGAGGAGCACCGGCGGCAGGAGAAGGAGCTCGTCAAACAGGGAAAGAAACCCTTCTACCTCAAGAAGTCGGAGCAGAAGAAGAGGCTGCTGGTGGAGCAGTTCAAGGGCATGAAGAAGAAGCAGGTCGACCGCGTCATCGAGAGGAAGAGGAAGAAGGTGGCCGGGAGGGAGAAGAAAGAACTGGATCAGTTGCAGAGGAGACGTTGAGTTTTTATTGCTGGATGCTGTGCGCATTTTTTTTGTGAAGCGAGCAAAACGTTTTGGATGCACAGCACAGCACCGGCCCGGACAGGGATAGGTCTCTTCTGTCTGCAAGGTAGTAGTCTATTCTAGCGATAACACTGGTGATACATGATGATACATGATGATATACACCATGGCAGTACAGCGCGTGGCATATAGCTGGCTCCCGTGAGCCACTTTATCATGGAGACCCCATCTTCTTCAGACTATTCTCAAACATCTCGCGGCACCTGACGCGACTGCCCAGTCTTGCGCAGAGCAGGAACGCACCGCTTAGCTTCCGATGCAAGCTGTACGTCTCCTCCGGCGGCGGCGCGAGCCTCTCACGCAGCATGACGGGGATCAGCGCCTTGACCCGCTCGGTGATGGTCTGGTCCTCGAAATCGTACACTTCCGGGGCGGAGCGCAAGAAGGGTTCCGCCAGCGTCAGCACCGAGTCCACGTGCGCCTCGACCATGACCCTGCTCTCGTGTCCGGTGAGGTACCCCAAGCTTTGGGAGAGCTGGCGGACGGCCTCCCGATCCGACCGCGAGGCGGCGGCTAGAAGTTGGACGTATTGGGCGACAAAGTCCTCCGGATACTCGCGAGAGGCGCCGAAATCGAGAAGCTCGAGTTTGGTCGTCTGCTCGTTGTAGAGGAAGTTGGTCCAGTTGGGATCGGTCTGCATGAACCGGAACTCGGTGATCTCGCGGAGACACAGGCGCAGGATCTGGGTGCCGATCCAGTCCCTCTGTTCCTGCGTGAATGACGTTACGCGCGTCACGCCGATGCCGTCCATGAAATCCATGGTGAGAACCTGCTTCCCGCATGCTTGCGGGTAAATCCCGGGGACCACGAACGTGTCTCCCTCGTCGGCGAGAAACTCCCGGTAGCGCCGGAGGCAGGTCGCTTCCCTTTCGTAGTCGCATTCCCAGCCCAGCTCGAGCCGGGCGTTGTCGATGGTTTTGTTCAAGTAAAGACCCCTCGGAAGCAGCTTGGTGGCCGTCAGCAGGATAGACAGGTTATCCAGGTCGGAATTGATGGAATCAGCCACGCCGGGGAACTGGATCTTGACAGCGACCCTTTTGGAGCCTTCCTTGAGCACCGCCCGATGGACCTGGCCGATCGACGCCGCAGCGATGGGCTTCTCCTCGAATTCCTCAAACAAATCGCGCCATTGCGGCCCCAGGTTGGCAGCCAGTACTTTGTCGCGCTGCCAAGACGGCATGTAGTCTGCGCGGTCCTGCACTCGTTGCATGACCTCCTGAATCGGTCCCGGGAGCATCTTGGAGTCCTGGAAGCTGAGCATCTGGCCCATCTTCAGCGCGGCCCCGCGCATCTGCGATAGCTTGGAAACCAGCCGTTCCATGTTCCCCGCGCTGAGCATGACGGATCCTTGGCCCTCCCCGCCGAATGCTCTCCCGATACTTTCGCTGATCGCACCCCCCATCATGCCAGCGGCGAGTCCTCCGTAGTTCCAAAGACGACCGATGCGGGTAGCGGGGACTTTGGATTCCCTTAACACGTAGGTTGGTCTGGCACTCGCGGGTGGGCTGGGAGACGTAGCTTCGGGAGAAGCAGAGGCAGAGGCAGAAGCAGAAGCAGTCGTCCCTCTGCTCTCACTGGTGTCCCGGGAATGCCCAACCGATGCTGTACTCTCGGCAGTGGTGGCACTGCGCGCCGATTCCTGGTCGTCTATCGGCACATTCTCTGACGGCGCAGATGGTGTCGTCGCTGTTGCATCTGATGGTTGCCTGTTAGGATGTGTGACAAACTCGGGCAAACCGACAAGCTTTGGCTTTGGCTTTTCTCGTTTCCTTAGGTCTCCGAGAAGATTGGCTCCTCGTTTGGTGTGAAATATGTCCACGTTCACGCCAGGAGGCAGAGAGTCCAGTTCTGCTGGAGAGTCGGACTGGGAGGACAACCCTGTCTGGTGCCTAGACTTGAGTTCCGGAGAAGACGCATCGGTCCATTGGGAGCTCGATGGGGTTGTTTCCCTCAGTTGAGATAAGACGGACCCCGTGTCCGGTTGGAGCCCAGATCCATGTTTGGGGTTCAGTGCCTGGGCCGGTGAAGAGTGAGGGACGTGGGTTACGGGAGAAGATTGCGTCGCAGTTGGCTGTTTTGTAATGACCCTGGAGACGGCTGATGCAGCGGTGTTCGAGCCCCGAGCTGAAGGCAAGGAAGGAGACGATATGTTGTTTTGGCCAGTGTTTTGACCCGTTCTCAGGCTCGCAGTCAAACTTGACGTCTTACTGAAATTCTCGAGCTGGCGGCCGCGGAGCGCGATGTGCTTGGCAGCAACGGACCGGGATGCACTGACGACCGCCGCCAAGTCGATAGCGAAGTCGGCGAACCTCATTGGGGAAAGGGGAAAGCAGGCTACTTGCAGCTTTTCGACATCTCGATTTTTGCCTTTTAGTGAGATGTGAAGTCTCCCTCTCGAGAGTGAATAGTCGCGGGAGCGTATCGCCGTACCCAGCGAGAATGTTCTGACGTTATGCAGTCTACACGGTATATTGCTTTAAAGGAAGAATGCATTTATCGAGACCTCAAGTCTCCGACAAAGCAGATGGTCGAAATGTAATTACACAGTACGTGGGCGACAGCAGCGCAAGGTGTAGAATGACGCTTTGAATATCCCCATGGGTATCGTGATTTTAGTTAGGCATTGCAAAAAGGAGTATCCATCGCTCATTCGCTCTTCCTGGTAACACTCTTGAGAAGTGACCCCCTTGCCCTCAGTGGTGTGCTCCTCACAGTGGACGTAGACTCCGCCAAACTCCCTGGCCGCGGACTTCCAATCTTCCCCCATAACCTCTGCGCGGCCGGTGTTAGACCTCCCACAACCCTCGGGCTAGAAGGGAACTTGGGGACTGGAGTCGTATCCGGCTTCCCCGTCAACCCATTCTTCACAGACTCTCGTTTCATCCGGGCAGCGCGCTCGACAAGTCGATGATGCAGAGTCTCCCTTTTCCGTTGATCCTGCAGCTTGAAAGGATTCGGCATCGAATCACCCGGTCCGAGGTCGATTACCGGAGAGGAGGCCGGGAGAATTTCTTCGTCGTCTTCGTCGTCGACAAAGGCGTACCCGTTCACTCGGGGCGTCTCGCCGCCGCCGACCGTAGTAGAGTTTAGATCGTCCGTTCGGGGTCTTCCGCTAATGGCATCTCTGACAGCGGAAAGCGTTGGTGACGGCGGCCTGTCGACCGCCTTTGGTTCTGGTATCCTTGTGTTGTGATAGTTGATGGACTTTGGCTCCATTGTCGATTGCGCTTGTGCCAGCTGTGCAGGGCTCCCCGATTCATCCTCGACTCCGGGGGCCCCGAACATCAAGCCGTTGATGGGATTCGCTTTCCATGTATCTGGTCTTGCCGGTCTGTCATCCGCGTCCTTGATCGCCAGCCTGTTCCTTTTGCGGAAGCCATCGTCGACGAGACGCCCTGATGCTGCAAGACGCGCTTCGACTTCCGCCTGCTTGATCATCTGCTTCGACGGGAGTTTGTTCCCTCTCCAGATCCAGGCATACTTCTCGGCTTTCTTCTGGTTGTGTTTGTCCATGAGCTTATAGAAACTTTCGTTGTCCTCGCTGGTGTATTTGGCCTGGAAGCTGGCAAGGCTCATATCCATATCCACCACGACCTTGGGTTCGTCCGTTCTCGATGCGGCAAGTGTCATGGGCGTATCGACTCCTAGAGCGGAAGGTGTATGTTGGCCGTCACCGAGACCAGGTTTGGGTGTGTTGAGATGCCCGCCCGTCGCGAGGACGCGCTGCAACCTCTGTCCCGCGTTCGCGATCCATGCCGAGTCTTTGGATTCCAGCGCATCGAGGTACTCCTGCTTCGTCTCGTGTTCCAGCAACCCAGGGAAAAAGTCGCGCGCGATGATCTTCGACAAGGCATCTGTGTACACGTCTTCTTCTATGACTGTCTTCGGTCGCTTTATCTTCTTGGCGGGGGGTGGTATTGGTATCAAATCGGTGTCGGTGTCGGTGTCGGTTCGTTTCCGTACCAGTGATGTGGATTTGGCTGGCTCTCCATCCATCGTGCCAACTTCCCGCTCGACTTTAAAGACGAAAAAGAAGTAGACCAATACTGTGCGTCGTCGCTGGGCTCTTAAGGAAGTGCATGGACCGAACCGCGTTGGGAGTTCAATATGATGTGTGATGTTAGAGAAGTGGATGGTTCCAAGTTGCTTTCGCAGGTACGTGAGCTGCAGGTCTGGGTGGCGTCTCACCTCACCCCTCCCTCCACTCATGAAATTTGGAGGGGGGGTTCTGATAAAGAGTAGGTACCTCTCTTATCGGTGGCCAAACCTCAACCCCCCACTGCCCACTGCCGGACTTATCTCGACCGGCGCCGGAGGGGATTTGCTATGGCATTCTGCTCTCTTCCCTTGCATTTTCACTACTCACTTGGCAGCACCATAACTTCCGAACATAATCCGCCATCTGCTTTTCTTTGCAACTTCACGTCTTGAAATATATTGCGTCACCCATCTTACACTATAAACGAGCTAAGCGTCAACGCATTCAACTATGGCCTCCGCAGAGGAGCAGGCGACGGCGCTTAAGAACCAAGGGAATAAGGCCTTCGCCGAGCATGACTGGCCCACGGCGATCGAGTTCTATACGAAGGCGATAGAGCTCAATAGCAAGGAGCCAACATACTACACCAATCGAGCGCAGGTCTGTCTGGGCGCCTTTTCTTCCTCTTCTTTGTTTATTTTGCGTTCTCCCGGTGACTAATACAGCCCGGTAACGGTGCAGGCCTATATCAAGTCTGAAGCGTACGGCTACGCTATCGCAGATTGCAACAAGGCGCTCGAGTTAAAACCTGGACTCGTCAAGGTGTGTTGAACTTGCGCCGACAGACATTTGGGATGCTACCCCTCTTGTACTGACCGATTCGTTTCCCAGGCCTACTTTCGTCGTGGCCTCGCTCACACCGCGATCATCCGCCCCAAGGATGCGCTTGTGGATTTCAAGGAGTGCATCAAGCTCGACCCGAACAATCGAGATGCAAAACTTAAACTCGACGAGTGCCGAAAAATCGTTCGGAAGCTCGAGTTCTTTGCCGCCATCGAAGTCGGCGAAGAACCGTCCGCTGCGGAGGGCTTGGACCTCGACGCCATGACGGTCGAGCCCGAGTACGATGGTGTACGGCTGGAGAAGGAAATGACACAGGAATTCATTGACGACATGACGGAAAGGTTTAAGAACGGGAAGAAAATACACAGGAAATATGTCTTCCAGATTCTCCTGGCCGTCAAGGAATTGGTGTATAATGAGCCTACGATGGTGGAGGTGGATGTTCCCGAAGATGTCAAGCTCACCGTCTGCGGCGATACACACGGTACGTTTGACAGGACAAGTGTGACGAAACGCGCAGAGCTTACTCACTAATACCTCTTGTCCCAGGCCAATATTTCGATCTCATGGAGCTGTTCCGTCTCAACGGCAAGCCGAGTGATAAGCACTGGTACCTCTTCAACGGAGACTTCGTTGATCGTGGGTCCTGGTCTACCGAGATCGCATTCCTCCTCTATGCGAACAAGTGGCTGCGGCCAAAGGCCTTCTTCTTGAACCGCGGCAACCATGAGACGGATGATATGAACCGCGTGTACGGGTTCGAGGGAGAGTGCAAGGCCAAGTACACAGAGAGGTACTGCTTTTCGTCTGCTGACGTCCCATGCAGAATAAGTCAAGCTAACCGATCCCAGGGTGTTCAAGTTGTTTTCTGAGAGCTTTTCGGCCTTGCCCTTGGCGACACTTATTGGACACAAATATTTGGTCCTTCACGGAGGGTTGTTTTCAGATGACAAGGTCACATTAGACGACATCCGGAAACTCGACAGACACCAGCAGCGCCAGCCTGGACAATCCGGGCTCATGATGGAGATGCTGTGGACCGACCCTCAGGAGGAGCCGGGCCGTGGCCCCAGCAAGCGTGGAGTTGGCATGCAATTCGGCCCAGACATTACGAAGAGATTCTGCGAGAACAATGGGCTGGAAGCTATCATTCGGAGCCACGAGGTCCGCATGGATGGTTATGAGGTCCAACACGATGGCCGTTGCATCACAGGTAAATATTCTCTAACCAGTATAAGTCTCTTTGGCTCCGATGGCTAACTACCCAACTTGAACAGTTTTCTCGGCCCCCAAATATTGCGATTCCACCGAGAACAGGGGCGCATACATCAACATCGGCCCTGACTACAAACTGCATTATGAGCAGTTCGACGCGGTCCCTCATCCCGACGTTAAGCCAATGGTAACCACAGCTTTCCGACCTCCAGTCCCTTCCCCGTTTCCTTCGGAACATCCTGCTGACTTTCCTCCAGGCGTATGCCCATAGCTCTCTAATGTCGTCCCTCATGTAGCGCTTGGGCCATGTTGATGGGTTGATGCGGGAGCGATGGATTTGTACGAGTCGAGTGTTCCGGTTTGGCTATTACCGCGAAGGCATTTTTCGGGGCATACAGGTGGCACACGTCTGCTACGGCTTATGGCATTGCGGGCAGAACAATGGAGTTTCGTACAAGGTCATCATATCCAACTGTAGCGAAAATCATGACGAGATGAGCATTTCGGCGCATTGTGCCAGAACGGCGATGGCCCATTTTCTGTGCATGCACCAGGTCGGTGGATGGCCTCACCCCCAGAGTTTGTCCTGGCCTTCGGCGCCCACCATGCTCCCCAGCCAGTCCGAGCACTGTCGTATCCTGAGCATCGACTGCTCTCCTCCGTTACGGGTTCCCGACCAGGCTGTCATAGATGCAGAGAAGGCGGCCAGGTCTTGTCGTGGTATGCGTAGCCAGCACTGATTGTCGTGGACCTTGAGGATGTCGATGGGAATTGCGACACCCGTCGCCCCTAGGGACTGCTGGAGGGCAGACGTGCAGTAAGACCGGATCTGCAGATGGTCGGTTTCCGTCACCGTCGCATGACCCTGGCTGCTCCTGACCACTTCGAGGTGCACATAGGAAAACGATGGCGACTTGGCCGTGCAGGAAAGAAGTTCGTGCGATTTTTGGTTGAATTGGTGTTTCTGTATGCTTGAGGATGTGCTCTGCCCCTGAGATTGTGTGGACATCATGAATCTGAAGCACCAAGCTTTCCTTGTCTGACCGAGGTGGATGAGGAAAAGTTGAAGTCGCTCCGAGTGGCTACGTACTTGGGAAGGTAAGGTACTCCGTTGGGCAGGGTCTGCCAGATAACGCGGAGTCAAAAACGTCACAAAATAGGTCAAAATTGATCAAGGTAATTATGTATAAATGTGACTATAAAAACGTTTAGAAACTAAAAATATCTACGCCGCTATATTAGCCTCGCGGTTATTCCGTATACTACTAGCTATCGCCGCTTAATTTAATCTAGAGATAAGGTAGTTCGATGCTAGTAATATGTTTATTAATACTAGCCTTAAAAAGAAAGTGTTTATAAAGATACTATAAGGCTATAAGGTGCTAGGTAAGGTCCTGCTATTATAGAAAGCCCTTTTCGGTTTAAGAGTATCGCTACTATTTTAGTAAAAGGAATTTAGTAGTATGCTATAAAAGATAGGATTTATAGCCGTCCCTAATAACCCCAATATTATAGCGCACGACGGTTTAATCCTGTTCTTCTATATTAACGATATCGGACTTATCTATTATAGAGATTATAAGACTAACGCTAATAGCCTCGAGGCCGCCCTTAAGAGGAGCTATAGGTTATCTAGAGGCTATAAAATCCGTTAGTTCCTAGGAATTAAGGTCTTAAGGGATAGAGCTACTTATAGGTTATACTTATTATAAGCCTTTTATATAAAGAAGATCGCGGCTAAATGCTATGTAGATATCCTCTGCCGAAAACTATTAAAGGTCCTCTTATTATCTATAAAGCCGTTAATACCCTATAATAGTATACGTGCGTTAATTCCCGAGGTCCGCTAGTATTAGGGTATAATAGGTTTAATCCTATATACTCCTATTATAATAGACCCGATATCGTGTTTACCTATTTAAAGCTTTCCTAATATAACGTTAATCCCTCCTTAAACTATCTTAAGAGGTCTTAATAAGTGCTATTATTCCTATACTATATAAGATACCACTACCTAGAATTTAGTGGAGATAGACTCTTCTTAACTATAAGCGACGCGTTCTTTAGGGATAATCTAGACCGTAAGAGTTTATAAGAATATACGATAAAGTTTTTCGGCGGCATTATTAACTAGAAGGCGGCTAAATAACCGACGGTTATAACGTCGTTAATAGAATCAGAACCACTTACTTTTATAAAGACGGCTAAGGAGACGTTATTTATTAGTCGGATATTAAGAGATTTAGAGCTTTAGTTAGATTAATAATAACTATAGCTATACTATAATAATTAGCAGACTATTAATCTTATTAATAAGAAAGTATAACGCCTACGAATAAGGTTACGCTATATCGATATTTATAACTAGTAGGTATACTAGTTAGTATAGTAAGACCTCTTCAAGGTTACATATATATATATATATATATATATATTATTATTCCCCGCGGCACCTCCGCGGGGGCGTACTATAAGGCTCCCCGATCTCCCCTATCCTCTTTATCCTTTATATCTCTACCCTCTATAAGGAGCTAGAAAGGGTCCTTAAAATAATAGTCGTAGGATTCGCTAATAACACGAATATTATCGCCTTTAGTAGGACGGAGGCATAGACGCGGCACCGCCTCGCCGCCGCGTAGCGGGCTTACCTAGACTAGGAGATAGCGAGCGGACTATAATTCGAACTAGCTAAGTACGTTTATATCCCCTTTATAAAGTCACGCTAACCCTCCTTTACCCCGCTCCCCCTTAGCGCTATATCGGTGCAGGTTATAGAGGCGATAAGGCTCCTAGGCGTTTAGCTTAATAGAAAACTCGATTTCCGGTAATACGCTAAAAAGGTAAAAAGCCGGCTTATTACTTAAATATACGCCCTCTTAAGGTTTAGTATAGTAGTATAGGGGTATAGCTTCGTGGATATAAAAAGACTATACCTTATAATAGTAAGACTAGTAATAGCTTACTATACCTTAGCCGTTTATAAGATAGGGGCCGGCCTATAGTATAGCCCCGTAGCGGTATTTATAGCGATATAGAACCGGTGCCTTAGATTAGTAGCCGGAGCCTATAAGGCTATACCGGTTAGGGTCCTCGAAAAAAAGACCTTTATCCCCCCCCTTAACCTATACCTCTTAAGCCTAAGCGCCTAAAAGATCCTCCGGATATAAGAAAAAGGGACTAAAAATATAATATTAGCCGGAGTATATACCACGGTAAAAGCCCTAGTAATACCGAATCGGCGTTATAAAACCCGCGCCGCCCTCGTATAAATAGTATAGCTTACCGCCCTAATAACCTAGGCCAGAACCACGCCCCCGTAGAAGGCCCTTATAAGGAAATAGGGTTAAGCCTAGGCGGAAGCATAGCGGCCCTATACCTACGCCGTAATAGCACTAAGCCGCCCCCTAATATAATACTCCCTCCGGAAGTATAAAGGGCTCGTTAAGCTATAAAGCTCCGTACTTACCTAGATTAGATTAGAAAAACTAGGCCTACGGGTATTCCTAGCTAAGGCGAGGGTACCGGGCTTCCTATTACCGCGGTGCCCTTATAAAGACGGAGGGGCGGAAATAGCGGAGCACGTAGTACTCTAATACTAAGAGGTAACCGCGGAGGACCGTAAGGACCTTTTCGGTGCTATAAAGAGGCCGCTCACGACTAAAGGAGACTTATATAACGTACTAGAATATAATACTAAAGCCGGGGCAGTTATAAGGTGGTTGCTATAACGGAAAAGACTTAAGAACTTTTATCTTACCCTTAAAGTTATAGAGGCCTATAAAAATAAAGGTAATACTAAAGCGGGACCGAAGCGGAGATAGTATAATATAGTAGATTAGTTAATTATTAATAGGGGTCCTATAAGCCAGGACCTTAGCGGTATTAGCTTAGCGCTAAGGGGGGCTATTAACGGCTACTAGCTATTATTATACTAGTTATTATCGTTCTTATTATCCTTAGTAATGCTAATACTACTCTTAATATATTCTAGGCCCTACTAGGATCGGTTAGCTAACCACCGCTATTATAGCACCGTAAGGAGACTAAAAAGGGCTACTTATAAGGTACTTTAGAATACGGTCTAACTTACCCTCTAGACGTCTTATCTAATAAGATAACTCCTATACCTCCGCCGACGCAGTACCGCTATAGCCACGACCGGAAGGTAGCGCCCGGTTTAGGGCCCGGCTAAAAGACCGGGACGCTATCTCTAAACACTCTTTAGCCTATAGCTTATTAGTAGGGGACTACTTCGGCACCGAAAAAGGATACGTATAATAGTAATACAGTTATTACCGGCGGCCTTTACCGCTATATACGCCCTATAAAGATCTATAAGACGCTATTACTATTTTTTAGTAATAGGGGGGACCTATAGAAAAGTCAGTATATACTACCGCGATATACCTATAATACTATAACGATATCAGCATAACTTATATCCTTACACGGACGCTAGCTATTAGTATACTAAAAATAGGCTACCCTTATACCCGTGGTATTAAAGCAGGCCTCTACGTTATCGGGGTATATACCTAAACGCTTACTATAATGAATATAACTACCCTAGGTTAGCCACCGCGGTACCGCCCTAATACTACTAGGGAATATATATAGTATAACCCGGACCGAGCCCTTCTTATACCGGCTATGATTATTATTAGTATTAGTATTATCGGGGGACGATATCTACAACTATTAGCACGCTACCACCAAGGCACCGCTATGCTACTAGGAGAACTTATATTATAGTACTACTAATAATTAATTATTTATATATATATATTAATACTATACTACCTAGTTAACCCTACACCACCACGCTACCGCGATACTACCTATAAAGCATTTATAGTCTAATTATAATAAGAAAAATAATAAGAAAAAACTAAAGGGTTTTACTATTAGTATACAGCCGTAGCGATAAGCCTACGGCACTATAAGCGGGAATAGGTTAGGAGGAAAACCTATAACGAACTTATTAGCGTTATAAGAGGAAAAAAAAGAGAAAAAAGACATAAAGACCTTATAAGATATTAAACAGGGTAGAGCCCTATCCTCCCTACCTGCCGCCGGATATAGTAGGAACCCACCTAGGGGAGGCAGGAGGCGCCTACCTCCCCTACTCTTTTTATTAACTAAGTAAAAGGAATAAAAGGCACGATCCTTAAGGACGTAGGGAGGCTAAGGCTAAAGGGCTATAGCCTCCGTACCACGGAGGCGCGGCGGCACCCCCTTAGCCCTTACTCCGCCGCTAATGATTAGCTTAGGCTAACCTACCTAACTACTAACCTACCACACTTCCCGTTAGCTATATAGAACCCCTATATTTAAGGGGTTGGGCTGCTAAACCTGTCCCTCGAAGTCTAGTTAAATACACCTGTTTTCTGTGAAAGAGGCTATCTATTTAACTATGTTTAGAGGTAGTTAGAGGTCTTAAAGGGTCCTTAGTAGCTAGGGACGTGCGACGTGATCGATAGCTCCTTTAATATCTAAAAATAACGTGGAAATTACCGGATTTTAGCGTGATTTACGCTATTTTTCGATATAGTGGAGGAGGAGGAGGGCTATATTGATAGCTGAGCGTTATTTCTTACACCCTATTTAACTAGAGTATAGAAGGTCGTCGCGGGTATTAGCCATAAAGCTAAGCCTAGTAGCTATAACCCTCTTAAGGACTTTACCTAAGCAGTTTAGAAGGGCTATAAGCCTATAAGACTTAGGATCGAAATAGTCTTTCTTCCCTAACTCCGACAGAATAACCCCGAGGGCTTCTTTCTAGTAGATAGGGTAGTAACCTACGGAAAAGAGTGCTAAGCAGGCCTATAAAAAGGACCCGGGAATAGCTTTATAGACCTATTAGATCGGTTTTAAACCTATCCTATCAGGTCCAGGGGCTTTCTTTTTAGCCGCTCTAAAGATAGCTTGTTATAGTTCTATAGCCTAGAGGCTAGGCCACTCCCACGGTCCTCTACGGCCCTTACTACGTGATCTAGTTAGGCTCTAGAGGCCGTTAGAGGGGTTAGAGGGGCCTAGGCCCCCTAAAGGGCCTATGAAAACAGGGGCTTCGGGGGCGTTAGTAGCGGAGGGTGCTAGAAAAAGGGTCTAAAGTAAGGCGTTACGAGCTTAGCAGGTTGCCCTACGGGCAACACCGCTAAGCTCGCCCCCCCCCTAAAGGGGGGGGGAGGGCTTATTATATAACCTGCTCTATAATAACTAAATACCCGAAAATAAC